TAAATGAATGTGGAAATAAATAAAAGTGGAAATAAATAAATGAATAAATGAAGAAATAAATGTGTGAAAAAATACAATTGTACATAAATATGTAAATAAAAGTATAAATACTCATTTATATGTACTTTTTTACATTTCTTTGTATATTTATTTATTTTTGCTTTTTTACATTTCTTCGTATATTTGTTTATGTATATATTTATTTTTAATTAAGTCAGCTTTGACATTCCATACCGGACGACTGTGAGAGGCGGTGGTATGCGCGACAATCCTCTGTGAATAGGTCTTAGTTTTGAGTCCTCTCGACTTTCTGTCCTGACTTAGGTGCTGCTTTTAGGGCTAAAATGCTTTGTGAATAACTCTTAGAAAATTAGGAGTCGTAAAGTTAGAGGAGTGACACGCCCATTATTTTTTGGAGTTGCTCCTAAATTCACCAGTTAGGATCTACTGTTAGCCTTAAAATTCTTTGTAAATACGGCCCCTGATCTTGATCATTAAACCTCAGACAATAGTTTTGAAAATGCAAATCTTTTTTTTTTAGGAGCAGAGGATGTTTGACAGCGGGATGGTGGCCGGTTCCATCAGTTTGGTGGCTCCAGAGTTGAAACGGGGTCATCCGCCTTCCCCATCCACTGATATGTATGCCTTTGGAGGAATCATGCTCTGGGTACTAGATCTATTACTTGCTTACTAAGTTAATTATAGTATATAATTTCCATTTATATACAGTTATATTAAGAATTATTATAAGATATAAACATAAAATCAACTGGTATCTTTAAAGTGCCTCTATTAGGCCTTTTTCAGATTTTACCTTTCATGTAGTGTGTAATACTTCTGTTTGCACTGTAATAAGTGATCAGTTGACTTACCTTAAGCTACCTAAGGTAAGTCCACCCAAAAATGAAATTTCTGTCAAACCCGTAAGACCTTTCAGTCATCTTCGGAACACAAATGAAGATATTTTTGATGAAATCGGAGAGCTTTCTGATCACTTTTTACGGTGTGTGAATGTAAAAGGTCTGCAAAGTTTCAACGGTCACTACCTGAAATGAGTCGACTTTTGAAGAACCTATGTAGGTTTCTAACGAATTTACATAATGCCACCCTATGGTGTTCATTGGGAACCCACTAGCAATGTCTACTTTGCCCCGACCCTCAAACACTGTAGTTGTAGTCCTGAAAGAGTTTGGTACGTGTTGTCGGCATGTCGAGAAGACGCTGTTTTCTGCACAGCGAAATCGAATCCTATGGAGCCCATAAAGGGACATGGCAATGGAAAAAAATATGACAATGGAAACTTTTTTTTTCTCCTTCCCCTGAGAAACATAATGTTTACTCTCGAAACCTTTCCATTCCTGCTCCCAAAAACGTTTGCTTTCCTCAGTGAAGCTTTGCATTCACTCACAAAGAACAAAGTTGTGAGCAAGCAAACAAAGTTTCTTGGAGGAACGCAAAACATTTGCAGGAGAACACAAAAGTATTGACGCGCATTTTTTTTTCTCTCATCTCATGTTTTTTTTCCATCACCATGTTCCTTTAGGGGCTCCATAAAAATACACTTATCATGCACTTTTAAAGGATAAATTGATAGATACAGTAAAACCAACACCATTAGAGTGCAACAGTCAAGTCCCGGAAGTAAACCACATTCATTTCCTCCATCGGGAATTCGATTTTTAATGAAAACTAGTAAACCTTTAGACAGTCCTGCTGTTTGCTACGAGGTTGTTAATCGATGGTTTTTGCTTCTGTCGAAGCCATCATACCTGTATTATTTCAACTTATTTTTGAAATACTCTTTAACAATGGAATTTATGATGGAAAAACTATCGTTGATTGTTGATGTTACTACGTTGTCAAAATACTTATTTGTATATGTGTGCATGTTTTGCAAAAAAACTTAAAATATATTGTTATTTTTTCATTTGATTATTTTTTTTTTGCAATGCTTCATGGGATTGTAGTTCTTTCCCTTATTAAAACTGTTTTATACACTCTTTTTGTCAGATTTTCATGGGAGAAATGAATGGAAAAAAAATAATTTGACAGTAGACCAATCACAGAGAGTCCGAATTATTCATCGAACCGTTTCAGACACTGAGAAAAGAGGTGATGATGTAATGTGTATTATTGAATGGATGTAAACCTATTATGGGAGACCTCCAAAACAAGAAGCATTTAAAGGGGGGGTTGACTGCTTTTTTTCTTTGCATGATTGTGTTTATGGGGTGCAATATAACATGTATTCGTGTTTTTTCTTTTTTTAAAAGTCTTATTTTTCATAATCTTCACCATTATTGTCAGCCGTGCTCTCCTCTGTCCTCTAACGAGCGGTTGACTTCCTGATTCTATGAAAACACTCCCTCAGAAACATGTCGTGGGCTCAGATTGGTTAGTTTGGCACGGTGTGTTGTGATTGGCTAAACTGTCGCTCACGTTGTCCGGAAGGTTAACGCCCATTACCTTTACAAGCAAAACGTGCATGTCATGAGCTCTGGTCCAGTAAATATGTGTCGAACTGCAGTATCAATTTGAGGCATAATCAGACCGATAAAGCCCCAATGAAGAGAGTCAAACAGAACCTCACCACACACGGCTCTTGCTAAACGTTTCTGGATGATAATTTGCTACATTTTTTAACTTTATGCACGTTTGTTTTACACAATAGCATCTGACTGGCAACAATAGCAACTGACTGGCTACTAATGTTAAACACAAACAGCGTTGGCAAGTTTACGTTCTTGATCAAATCGAAAATAACGTCATAAAGCATATATACATGAAAAATATGTTTAAAACATTAGTACTTGTACAAAATTCCGGTCCATAATGTTTGTACGCGTTTGTCGTAGACACACAATAGCATAACTAGTAGCCTATAGTGGCTATAAAGCCAGCGCTGGCATTTTAAAAAAATAAAACACAAGGCTACGTCTGGAATTATACATGCAAAATACATTTAAAATGGTTAAGTCTTAGTCTACTTACAGGTTGTGGCCCAACAACTGCTGCCTCTGGTTTTAAAGTCGGAACTGCTTCACGTTTTAGTAACAGTTTCTTGTTAAATCCGGTGTTGAACTCGTGGAGATTCTGGAAGCTGTCTTCTGTAAAATGCGCAGCACAGAGAGATAAATTACGATTGTCATTTTCAGGAACATAATCAAACATAAATTGTATCCATTGTTGACGAAGTACAGCGTCTGTGGGAAGTTCGAAGACATAAGACCTGACAGCTGGATGAACAACTCACTCAACGAGCTGGAGCTGCTGAAATATGCGAATGTCCTTTTCTGCATATTCTGGAGGGAGGGTTGATGCAAATGTGTGGGTTAGTGACGTACCATAACCCAGCTGTAGTCCCAATCGAGTCGTTTTTGTAGGCAATTATACTTCCTGATTTTAAAAAGACGATATCTCTGCTTACATTGAACTTTCAGCGCTGCAACTTTGCAGATACTGTTCATGTACCAACAGCAACATTACACACTATTTAAAATCAAAAAAGTGAAATCGCAGTCAACCCTCCCTTTAAAGCAGCACTATGTAGTTTTTTCAACCTTTATAATATTTTTCCTAGAGATGGTAGATCGACTTACAATAGGTTGAATGAAAGGTCTGCTATAGCCTGACAGTGTCTGTAAGTGCGTCAGAAACAGAGCGCGGGTGATCAGTTTACGGTTGGTAATATGTTGTATAGCTTGACGCATCCATTGTAGACTGCATTGTTTTCTTTTGAGGGCGCTTAACACACTCAAGCATCCCCGTAGAGTCGGGGTGGGCAGCTCGCGCCAGCTCGACACGTGAAAGTATACTGATTACTGAGTTTTTGGTAGGGGCTACATTCTTGCAAGTATATAATATGATTAGACAAACAAAATAATCGGTCAGGATAACTATCCTTTGTCTGTAAGCTGATAGTCATGTTTGTTACTTATTTTTCTGGTGAAAGTGTCTTGCCTCAGGCTGTAATGCAAATCGATTTTTCAAATTTGCTGCTTTAAAATAACATAATTTGGGAACTTTAAAAATAACCATTTGTGTACATTCAAGTCTTTTTCTGTCAGTAAAGTAGACTTTTCTGTTCACAGCTGCATGTTCCAGACTTCTGCGGAACTCTAGACAATGAGCATCAAAATGTAGAGTTCACTGGTTTGGATCTGGTATGTAGAATATAAGAGCTGATAAATATTTGTATGTTAATTTTAAGTTTAAAATTATTACTTCAAAATGATTCAATCATCTAATGTATCTCTGACAGGATGCTCAATTGCTGAAGCTCCTCTCAAAGCTGCTGATTTCCTCTACAAGACTGTCTGCTTCCGAAGCCCTGAAAGATGACTACTTCATCTCAGTTGATGTGTAAAATTTAAATGTGTTCATGTTTGCATTCTTTGCCCTTTTTCTTTATAATTTTCTCTTAAGAAAAAAAAAACCCACAGAGGTGTTTGTTTGTTCCTCACACCCATTTTCGTGTTCCTGAAATAAATAAAAGTAGATATGTAAAGGCAGAATAAAGTGGGAATCTTTGTCAATACAGTTCATTTTGTGCATGCAAAGAAATGCTTTAAATGTGTTGACGCTACCCTCTACTGGACAAGCCAAGATTAAACTCGAGGTGACCGCCTGAACTAAAGATGTAAGCTATCTGAAAATTATTATATTTATATCGTAGTTAGATTCATTCGTGATCCAGTTATTGGTGTTATTTTTGTAAAATTATATATATATATATATATATATATATATATATAGGCCTTTATAATAATTCAGGGAAATCATTCACATTCAACATTTTGCCTGGTCATACACACCCTTATCAAGCTGAGCAAGTAATAGGGCGAAGAAAATATATAATCCTCACATATTTCACAAATGAGTCGCACATGCGAAAACAATGGTCAGTGGGCGTGTCCTGTTTGCATCCCATGCCTCTAATTGGTCATTCCACTCGGGCGTCAACGACAAGGGCGTGTCCGAACGTCTTGACTGACATAGAGCACTAGAGAGGATAAGTGTCTTGTTCTGGCTGCTTGGGAAGTTCATGGGGCTTTAAATTTCTCACCGGGACACAGATCCACCCAGTGGGTGTTAGTGAGGTAAGTCTGGGAACTGTGGATCTCTTGTGATTGTGGCTGCGGGTGTTTTGTGTGTGATAAAGACTCTACACGTGGCTGTCTGTCTGTACAGCTGTCTCACCCTGTGGACACTTTTGATTGGAGCGCTATCCAGCTAAATCCAGTTAACGTTAGCCGTCTAATAATAAACAGCTGATTGCTGCTAGCGCTTCGCGGCTACACTGTTAAAGCTAGCTGTTGCATCCAATTCAAAGCATGAATGAAAGTACCGCGAAAACGAGCCGACCGAATTCACAATGTTAACTTTAATATGTTGTTAGGGGACGGTTTGTAAATGTAACGTTACTAGCACAGCGCGAGCAATGTGCTCATTGAGTCCCACGCGCTGCGCGTTTCCTTGAAGTTGAATGGGCCGCACGTGCGCTTGTGTTGCCATCATAAAAATCTACTGCGTAATGTTTCTTACGGTCCGGAGTGGCTGGAAACGTAAACCAATGTTAGCTTATGCACAATGGAACAGTATCTGACTAGGACGTGCCACTGCCAGGACAGTCTACTGTAGCTAGAATGCGCGAGCGAGTTGCCTGGAACAATAAAGCGTCTCCATTCAAGACGGTCACTGGCCTTTGTTGTGGCGTTATAACTCATTTACAACGCACATTATGAAGTGCTTCATTAGTGGGCAATTTACGTATCTCAAAACAGACACCAGCAGCGTCGGCTTGCCTTTTTAAATAAATAAATAAATTAATACACGTATTATTAATTTTTCTGCAATGATGTATTGAATTGATCAAAGTGGCAGTAAAGACATTACAAAGAATCCTGTAAACAATGGATCATATTCTATATATCTTTCATATAGGCTGCATAGTGAGGTGGTGTTCCAACTATGGTTTCGTCATACGAAAATACTCTTAATTTAAGGGAAAATGCGTATTATTAAAAATCTTAAGACTACGTTAACTGGCTTTCTATGAAATCAATACAGTGAATGACCACTTTCTGTGTTTTTCCAGTAGCTTATATTATAAAAAGGTTAAAAGGACTATAAAGTGGTTAATTTTCACCAAAACAAAAGATATGCTATCTCTCAAAACATTCTTTTTGTCTTACATTTCATAATGAACTCAGACAAGCTTGTTCTTATCTGAAAAAAATTCTAAAAACTGAAGCTTTGGTTTCTGATGGTTGAACAATCAGATGTCAGAAGGGTCATTCACCACCCCTTGCATTAGTTACATCATGTTGGTGTTTGCAGTAACAGTTGAGCAAACATTTCATGTGATTTAGTTTGTGCTGACTTATTTCAGAATGTAAGCTTCTCGCACGCTCCTCAGCTTTGAAACACCCTGGCCTAGTTACATTTTTCCTAGCCTTTTGGCCTCAAGCTATTTCAGTGTATACTATAGCAGTGGCGTAGGGTTGACTTTGAAATTGGTGGGGACGGGGACAACAATTTATAATTAATTTATATGCCATTACACATTGTGTGCAAATACAATATGATTCATATTAAAACAAGACAGATAGTCAGCATGTGACCACTCTGATCACTTCAAATTGCCAGTTTACTTGGCTTCAAAAATGAGACTTCTAAAACCTGTAACCTCTGTCCAAATATGGTGTCAGAGCATTGAAATCATTAAATGTGACATTTTAGTTTCTTTAGGATGGACCTTCATACAGAAAATGCCCCCTGAAGTGAGACAGGAATGTCGCTGTCTTAGCTTTGAGATGCAGCCTTGATCTCATAATGACTTGTAATCAGATTAAACTTCCATATTCACCTGCTGCCACAGTTTTGTGGTTGTTCAACTTCCTTAACCTGTCAGAGTCTTGGAATGTATAGGCAATGCATTGCATCGTATAGCAGGTGTCTGGACTTGCGAAGACATGATTTAGTACATTTTGCTCTTTGTGCTGCAGGTGTACACTGCTGTTCAAATGTTTGGTGTTGGTAAGATTTGTAAAATCATCTTTTTAATCCTTTTTTTTTTTAATTAAAAATTGTAATAGTTGTAATAATTGTAATAGAGTCGCCAGTCAATGGTGTCATATCCGTGTTGCCCTCGGTTTCTGCCAGGTTTGACCCATAGACAGTAAAAGAAATGGACACAGCGACCCCATTGATTTCAACGGAGAAGACTGAAGCCCGATTATTGCACTTCCTGCCTGATGTCTGAGGGACTGCGCAGACTCAAACTGAGCTTCTCAGAAAGTTGCGTGGTTATGACGCAACCCCCTGTGAGAGGGCGAGAGCTGCGTGTTCCTGGCCCAGGCAGAGAACGCAGATCACATAGTGGTCTCCGCCGCTGAGCGGGTCTCTGAACGAGCCGTAGGAAGTGCGAGGCATCTTAGAAAAGATGCTCACTGCTCTTTTAGACCGTAAGCTTTGCAAGAATGGATGCGTCACTGGATGGCGTAGCTCGCACGGATGGCTGAAGGTGGCGAAGGCGGCCGTCTCCTTCTGGCGCTGTCCTAAGCTGGCTTGACGCTTTCTCCATGACGCTTCTCTCTAGATCCAGCGACACGTAGAGCTTCGCTGAAGAGATGAAAATCAGAGAAACAGCCTCCGAGCCCTGCTTGTATATGCTAAGCCACGCCCATACAGGCAGGCTATGACAGCTCTTCATTGGATGTGATGTCACGTCGGGCTCAGTGGTAGGCTGCTGAATTTCCCGTAGGGCAGCCAATGAGCATGCTAGACAGCCTCCTGTAGGTCTGCTAGCTGCTGTACTGTGTTGACAATGAATACAATATTAAGAATAATTTTTTGTTTCAATATTACGAAAAGATGAATCTTTCCCGTAGCGTAAGCTTGCGCAATACTCGGTCCCTCTTCTAGAAAGAACCGAGGTTATGTTAGGTAACCGATTCGTAATGCCTAGCAGGACGCTCATGCTGTTGTTTTTGTTCAAACATTATTGGCCAATGGCAAGCAGACTTGGAGGTAAAAGGGGAACTAAAACGAAGATCAGCATCTTTCGAGATGCTGAGAGCTCCACATCTGCGACAAAATTCAACTTGACAGAGACGCGAGTGTTGCATGTACTTTATTAGACAGGTGAGCAAATCTACAGCTAATCAATGTTTTTTAGTTCAACATAATGAAATGTTAGAATATGATCTAAGTATTTTTTAGTTCCTTCATCTGAGCCTCTGAAGAAACAATTAGTTTATTTTATTTTCTCTGGAAATGCGGCGACACAACTTCCCAAAGTTTTGTATGGTCCAAACACAGAAGACTGTTTCCTCAGCTTGGGCCAATACAGATCTGGCCTCGATGAACGTCTGAACATAAATCGATCGAGCTACCAAGCAACAATTTCTGATATGTAGCCTAATTGTTCAAGTTCAGACAGGTAATTTTTCTCTCAAAATCATTCAATACTGTTTATGCATTAGTAAGTCAAGCCAGTGACTAAAATATCAACTTCACATAGTTTCTTTTAGTAGGTTGAAAATAATCTTATTTAAATTGTGAACAAATTTTACTGAAAGCAATCAAAGAACAATCTTTCCACACAGCGCAAGTTTATCTGGACGATTCCTTAGGAAATCAATGACTCATGTTGAACTGCACAATGAAGCTCTTACTGTATGTACATCATCATGTTTGCATTGGTAAAAGTATTAGAGAGAGTGCAGAAACTGCGTTGCAATGATAAGATCTTCCTTCTCGTGATCAACAGACTGTCCTCTGCTTGCTCAATGCTGCGTCACGCCAACATTTTATGTGATGGGAATAGATCTAAATGCCAATCACAGCAGTGGCTTGTTGCACTGAATCCCACAGCAGACACACCCCTTCAAATGAGTGTTCAAATCAGAGGCTAAAATCAGGCCAGGAAAAATGCCTTTTATTTCTAAATCATGACAAGTTTTAATGTACAAAACATACTAACATTATAAGGGCAACCCAGGAAACATTATAAAATAACTCCATGTCAGGGGACCTTTAAATACCCTGAGGATACACTTATTTAACTGAAAAAAACAAAGTTTGGCATCTTTAATTGTGTAGTGGAGGGGGAGGAGTTATCAGACTTGAATGACAAAATAACAATATAAAGTTCATACACTATATGGTTGAGTACTGTAGGTCAGGTCATGAGTGAGTACTCCCGCAAACACAGTGAGTACATTACCGCCCGCACCCACACTCAGCCATCAAATCTAGGGGTGGTGAGGGAGCAGTGGATGAGATGCATGCCTTTGGTGTGAGAGACCCGGGTTCGAATCCACTGTAGCCCCTTTCACACAGAGATTGCGGAAAATACACGGATAATTTGACCCGGCATTTGTCCCGGGATTGTTTGATTTTGGATCATTCACACTGCTAGTGATTTGCCGCGATCTGTGAGTGTGTTCACGCACAACCCGTAAACCCACATAATGTCAGGATGAGACGTGTAACGTACGCGTCAAACATGTACACATGCATACCATTCCACAAAGCTGGTGAACGATCTCAGCTACAGTTGTGAGTAGTGAGGAGCTCCTGGTCTCTGCTTCGTTCCAGTTTGCAGACATTTGTTCGGCTTTTCTTTGTTGATGACGAACACAAACTTTCTTCTAAGAGCAACAGAGTCACGCGATGGCACGAGCGCCATCACTATGACACACCCCTAATGGCATTGGTCCTGGCATTTGTTCACACAGCACACGTTCCGGGACTGATTCCGGCAATGTTACTAGTTCCTCAATCCTGGGGATCAATCCACTAGGTATCAATCCTGGGTCGTGTTTGCATTCACACAGAAGGCATTCTGGCAATTTCCCGACAATTTCCCAGGATCAACGCGCTGTGTGAAAGGGGCTTGTGCAAGACACTTAACCCCTAGTTGCTCCAGAGGCATGCGACCTCTGACATATATAGCAATTGTAAGTCGCTTTGGATAAAAGCGTTAGGTAAATTTAAATCTAGTGCCGCCGCGCCGCACTCTATTGCGTTGGGAGTTCATGTCTCTAGATCAAGGCCCAGCCCACGGATAGTGTGGGGTAATATTATGCTTGGGCAGAGAATCTAGCTCTAGTTCACGTCAAGGAATTGAGAGTTGTCATCTAGTCTCTTTGATAGAGAGAGAGAGAGTGACAAGGAAAAAAAACAATCATGCAAATGGAAATTATCACGGGCGGAAAAATTATCGAGCTCATTTTTTATCGTGCGCTTTATTGATTTATTGTCTATCGCGACAGGCCTGTGAGTGAACACTGTAGGTCATTTCATGAGGAGTACTGTAGGTCAGGTCATGAGTGAGTACTCTAGGTCAGGTCATGAGTGAGCACTGTAGGTCAGGTCACGAGTGAGTACTGTAGGTCAAGAGTGAGCACTGTAGGTCAGGTCATGAGTGAGTACTGTCAGGTCAAGAGTGAGCACTGTAGGTCATGTCATGATTGTACTGTAGGTCAGGTCATGAGTGAGTACTGTAGGTCAGGTCATGAGTGAGTACTCTAGGTCAGGTCATGAGTGAGTACTGTAGGTCAGGTCACGAGTGAGTACTGTAGGTCAGGTCATGAGTGAGTACTGTCAGGTCAAGAGTGAGCACTGTAGGTCATGTCATGATTGAGTACTGTAGGTCATGTCATGATTGAGTACTGTAGGTCAGGTCATGAGTGAGCACTGTAGGTCAGGTCATGAGTGAGCACTGTAGGTCAGGTCACGAGTGAGCACTGTAGGTCACGAGGGAGCACTGTAGGTCAGGTCATGAGTGAGCACTGTAGGTCAGGTCACGAGTGAGCACTGTGGGTCAGGTCACTAGTAAGCACTGTAGGTCAGGTCACGAGTGAGCACTGTAGGTCAGGTCACGAGTGAGCACTGTAGGTCACGAGTGAGCACTGTAGGTCAGGTCATGAGTGAGTACTGTAGGTCATGAGGGAGCACTGTAGGTCAGGTCATGAGTGAGTACTGCAGGTCAGGTCATGAGTGAGCACTGTAGGTCAGGTCATGACTGAGTAGTGAGTACTGTAGGTCAGGTCATGAGTGAGTACTGTAGGTCATGAGGGAGCACTGTAGGTCAGGTCATGAGTGAGTACTGCAGGTCAGGTCATGAGTGAGCACTGTAGGTCAGGTCATGACTGAGTAGTGAGTACTGTAGGTCAGGTCATGAGTGAGCACTGTAGGTAAGGTCATGACTGAGTAGTGAGTACTATAGGTCAGGTCATGAGTGAGCACTGTAGGTCAGGTCATGAGTGAGTACTGTAGGTCAGGTCATGAGTGAGCACTGTAGGTCAGGTCATGACTGAGTAGTGAGTACTGTAGGTCAGGTCATGAGTGAGCACTGTAGGTCAAGTCATGACTGAGTAGTGAGTACTGTAGGTCAGGTCATGAGTGAGCACTGTAGGTCATGAGGGAGCACTGTAGGTCAGGTCATGACTGAGTAGTGCGTACTGTAGGTCAGGTCATGAGTGAGCACTGTAGGTCAGGTCATGACTGAGTAGTGCGTACTGTAGGTCAGGTCATGAGTGAGCACTGTAGGTCAGGTCATGACTGAGTAGTGAGTACTGCAGGTCAGGTCATGAGGGAGCACTGTAGGTCAGGTCATGACTGAGTAGTGCGTACTGTAGGTCAGGTCATGAGTGAGCACTGTAGGTCAGGTCACGACTGAGTAGTGAGTACTGCAGGTCAGGTCATGATTGAGTAGTGAGTACTGTAGGTCAGGTCATGAGTGAGCACTGTAGGTCAGGTCATGACTAAGTAGTGAGTACTGTAGGTCAGGTCATGAGTGAGCACTGTAGGTCAGGTCATGACTAAGTAGTGAGTACTGCAGGTCAGGTCATGAGTGAGCACTGTAGGTCAGGTCATGACTGAGTAGTGAGTACTGTAGGTCAGGTCATGAGTGAGCACTGTAGGTCAGGTCACGACTGAGTAGTGAGTACTGCAGGTCAGGTCATGATTGAGTAGTGAGTACTGTAGGTCAGGTCATGAGTGAGCACTGTAGGTCAGGTCATGACTAAGTAGTGAGTACTGCAGGTCAGGTCATGAGTGAGCACTGTAGGTCAGGTCACGACTGAGTAGTGAGTACTGTAGGTCAAGTCATGACTGAGTAGTGAGTACTGTAGGTCAGGTCATGAGTGAGTAGTGAGTACTGCAGGTCAGGTCATGACTGAGTAGGGAGTACTGCAGGTCAGGTCATGAGTGAGCACTGTATGTCATGAGTACATAATTTTGGATTTTTGTGAATTTTTGTTTTGAAGGTAATATTGTAATTTTCTTGCATTTAGTTATTTGCTCATTAATCCACTATAAAAAAGTGCCAATTAAGTGAAAATGTTGATATGGCTTAATAGTACTTTCAATCAGATACCAACCTCAATCAGTATAGTGTTATTGATGATGGACAGGGATGGCCAACTTCGATCCTGGAGGGCTGTCTTCAGGACCTCAAACAGAAGTGGCCCTCCAGGATAGAAGTTGCCAATCCCTGATATAGGCCTACAGACTAGTGAGTTTTTGCTGGTGTTGGAAATTTCTGACCTCTATGGCAGATTTAGCTGTCTCCATGAGCTCCAGATGAGAAGAGAGTGAGCAGAGATTCTATGAACTGCACTGAAATTCAATTTGCAGGTGAGTTATTACAAATAGTAAATTTGGAGGTCACATTTCCACAAATGGTAACGGGTAGGAGTATAGTATGCATCAATGCTTAATTACATGTTACTAAAGTACAACTGAGAGTTTTGCTTGTCTCTACATGAAATCAGTGTGATGATTCCGTAGTACACTGTGTATACATACACGCACATCGTACGATTGTGGTGTTTATGCCAAAGCTGTCTGGAATATCAGCAATCAGCAAAAACAAATCCAGGTATTGTTTGTAGAATATCTTTGAATGTGATTCGCTGATCCTATTGTGTGTAAAGATGGTCTGTTTGTGGGTAAAGTTCCTTTCTCTTGGATTCACATCACTCATACTTCAAGGGCCCTGGTATTGTTTTAAAGAGCAGCAATAATGCTGAGATTTCCAAGAAAATCTCAAAAGGATCACTCTGATGCACTTGGATCTGGCTTGTGTTTTTATTGCAATCGTGTGACTTTCTCATTCTGTTTTAAATGAAAATGGGAAAGGTTGCACAGAATTATGGAGTGAATAAACATTCTGATGTGGACTTGCTTCTTCCCATCCCCAGGTGCATGGTTCTCATTGCTATTGAAGACAAATTTTGTCTTAGCCCTGAGCTTGCCCTGCCTTAGGAAAAATGACAGGTAAGCACCTTTTGAGCCTCTTATAGGTTAATGGGATCCTTTATACACCAGATACATGAAACTCATGGTATCCACTGAGACCAATATTATTTATTTAAAGATGTATGTATATTTATAATTAATATTTTAGGTTAAAAATCAGCTGAATTATGTTTGAAGTATTTTAGGAAATATCTAGAGAAAGTTGTCCGATACCGATAATTCTTTATATTTGAAAGCCGATAACCGATATATTGGCCAATAAATATATATTTTTGTATAATTTCTGAGAGCCTGATTACAAAAACAAAGTCTCAGCATTAACAGCCATTTCACAAGCACACCATTACAATGTTATCATTATAATTTTATGTAGCATGCCCTATATGACAGACTTGGACTGCACATGTTATTTGTTAAGTGCATGTATAACAAGTACATGTTATACATGCACTTAATGTTATTTTTGTTTTTTTGAAGTGATTCTAGTCATATTTCAAGCATTTCAAAATCATCATGGTGTACCGTGCCCATCTGAAGCGTCTCGGCTGAAGGAAATTTTAATATAATGGGCAAATTTTCTTATTGGGCTGATAACGATTATATTAAAAATATTCCGATTTGGAGGCCGATATCGTGCGTCCCTAGAAATTTGAAATAACTTGTTTACTTTGTAAACATCAAGGTAGTACATGATATCAAACAATTGTGGCTATAATATTTATGATTAGGATTTTTGCCATATTCAAGGAGCCCTACTTTATCAGTAGCAGTTTTATGTTGCAGTGGCTTTAGATTTATTTATTTATTTATTACTTTTTCAGCTCGTTCACCCTATGACTGTGGTTGACATATCTTTTGCAAACATTTCCTTTGGAGTAAGGGTCAGAATGACCTCTTCAGTCCTTTCATCATAACTTTAGCAATGTCTAATGTATCCTGCCTCTATAGAGAGCGACCCATTCAGCTCTGGATGGAGCTAGAGAGGTTAACAAAATTGCTGATAAAATGGTGTGACTGAGGCTTAATGACCTGCATCTATGACCCACAGCGTAGTGTTTTCTTTCAGTTGCTTCCACTGACACAACATTTTCTATGCTGTGTTGTGCAGTTTGTTGCTGCCTGATAGTGGGAGAGGTCTCTGTGTGGGTTTGTTCACCATGTAAATGGTTACTGTTTCTATTATGCAAATTATGCCACTTTGTGATGAATATGCCCTTTTCTAGTGCTTTTCCGATGCAGTAATACACATGGATTGTTTTTGTCATTCTCTGTTACTGGATTGTGTAGGTTGCATAGTATTGACTGTAAACTGGACCCAAAAGCAGCTTTCTGCCACACCGTGCAGCCAAGCTGTAGGAAGCTGTGGAAATTGTGTGTTGGTGTGTGTGTGTTTTAGAACATAATTTTTTTTTCTTCTCCAAAATGACCTTCGTATTTATAACTCAAAGCGAATTAGTCACATTTGGAGCTTGAAATATTCCTAATTTTGTCTCTATAGTGGTGTGATTTGGTTTCGACCAACTGGCCAAGTAACGTTTAGGTTACTACGTCGAACTGACATAATGCTGTCTTGCCTGGGAGACCAATCACCTCTAAATGGTAACAAAGTGAGATTTGCAGGCCGAGTCACACCTACCCTGACATATGGGTATAAATTGGATCAGCATTACTCACCTCATTGCTGTTTTGCCTCAGGAGTGCCATATGGTGCCCTGTCCCTAAGAAAAGAGGTCCTTCCTCAGGGGAATCCACCAGGGAGGGCCTTTTGCTAGGAGCATCAGTTCCGCAACTAACAAGACCTTCTCCTCGTCCTCCCTGACCTTGCACAGTTTCTGTTAGGGCTGTGGATTTACGTTAAAAAATCGATTGCACAATCGATCAGACCAACCAACAGAAGTTTCGAAAATTAAAATAGGGAATCGATTTTAACGGCCTTCTAATTTTTTTTTTTTTTTTTTTTTACCAAAAATGTGTTTTAGGTGGCCATATCAAAACTGTAAACAGAACATGTAGGGTGTTGGAAAATAACAATGTCTTTTCTGTTAACCAAAAGCTTTTTAATATACGCTATTTAGGGGTGCTCCGATCAGGATTTTTGGGGCCGATCACTGATCCCAGATTACTGGAAGCTGTATCACCCGAGACCAATAGATCACCGATTACAGGGTCTATTTGAAGCCCTTTATTTATCATGTAGCATTACTTATTAAACTATATTTAACAACAATGTACTTTAAGTATTACATTTAAGAGAAGACAATGTATCAACAACTTCCATATACGCTATCTGTAACTTTGCTTTTTTCTGGGATGCTTTGTCAGATTTTGTGGGCATTTAGAGAGGAAGAGAGATGGGGATAGAGATTATTAGATTCATTTCTCTCAATTTCTTAGTAATTGTTTTTTTTTTCTTGCAAAATTATTTTAAATAGATTAAGAAAGCCACCACTACTGGTCACATCTATATGGTTAGATTGAATTGTTTTGATCCAGTGAAGTCTGTCCCACCATGTACCTAATATAAATAAATAAAACATCTCCAGTTAACTAGATGAGCATTCATTTAGTTCGCTATTAAATAAGAAATCTAGCGCTAAAATGTGTTTTTGGACTCAAGCTGCGCGCTTGTTACCACGGCGATCAGTGTCATGGATACAGTGTTCTCTTCAATCTATCGCCGTTGCGGACTCCATTCATTCCGGTGAAATCACAAAATAAAACAGAAATGCGTCCCTGCTTGGTATAGACTGTAACCACTGATTAACATTCAGTTTTGATGAGAGAAAAAAATATGTATACGAGTGCGGATTAGAACCTGTAACCTTTGACGCGCTTGGCAAAAGATCTCCCATTAGACTATTGAATTACTCGAAGTAAATTGTGGATCGATGGATTTATTTACAGGTTGAGCAGAGAGGCTGCACAGATTGACAAGTGGCCGCAGCATGGTACACATATTGCAGATTGCTAATGAATGGGCTATATGCACGCATAAGTTCCGCATTTGACGCAAGGATGCTCGTCCATTTCCGGTTGTGGAGATTAAAGCGGAGGAAAACCAAGGAAAACGGGATTATGACAGAATCTTCAAAATTTACTGTCCTCCCGTCTTTGAAACGAAACGTTCATGTGTTTAGATGTAATTTTACATATAGTTATGCTTCTTTTTAAAATTATATTAAATAAACATAAGCACAACGAGGGGTGTCTGTTTTATCTGTTTTTGTGACTAACGTTCCTTTAGTATAACCATGGAGTATAAAATTAAATATAAATTCTCGGTATTGCATTGGACTCTATGATCAGCGGAAGTTATCGAGCATCCCTAATCCTTCACCGGAAATACCGCCGTGCATAGAGCCCATTGTCTTTTTCACACACCTTGTAGAATTGTCAGACCGGTGAAGCCATTTTTATCAGGACGTAAATAAAATGTCTCATGAGTTTTGCGTCATCTATTTGGCTTTTTTTGGATCTGCCTTTATAGAGACCGCCGATCACACATCCTAAAGCAATTATCGTCCGATTATGATCAACGACCGATCAATCGGAGCACCCTTAACGCTATTAGTTCAATGCAAGTGAACAAGCGCGCCGTTATTTGTTGCTTAGTGACGTGTGTGTGTTCAAGTAAGCCAGAAATGTGCAGATTCTGCACAATATGCTGTATTTAATATCACCATCATGATGAGGGCTCATGAGTTGCGTATTTGCGCTAAATCCGCGCAGATTTGACTTAGTCGAACTTCCCCAGCAAAGTGAGTAAATAGAAATACTTTGCAGGCATAAATGTACCAGAATTGCACACAATTGCACAGTCAAGGATAGTGAGAGAGGAAGACATTTGATCAGATTCTGGCACTAAACTACCTCCATACTGCAAAAGCTCTTTATGCACTTCCGGGAAGAAAAGCACGGGGGCGGAGTGAGGCCATCTTCACATCACACGCTCCAAGTCCCGAAACCAATCATCCAGCCGCAATTGCTCAGAACAAATCTGAGCGCATGGTGGCCCAGGCCAGCATGGCTGTCAACTCTGAGAAAGCTTTGCGAAAGCTACTTTTAAAGGCGCTATATACAAAATAAATATATTAATAACTCTGAATCAGATTCAGCATGAGCAAACACCGCTGAAGCGGGAAGCTCAGTGTCATTTTCCTCTCCAGAGGATGATAGCCCTCTCACCGATGCAGCTATCGACATCTGATCCTCATCTGGAGTGCCGAATGACATGCTGGGTTGCCGTGACAACTCGCGCTGTCAGCCAGCAGCTCACTGTGGAGTGAGAGGTCCGCTGGGGTTTTCCTAGAGGAAAACTCTCGCTGTAACTCTCAATCTCCCAAAGCGTTGACCCAAAGACCCGTGGCTGTGATTTCACACACAATCAGCGGCTAGGCAACAACAAAGGGGACTCGAGCCTTTACGAGAAAGGAGAGTTGCGACCGGCATGCCAACGTGTGAGAACATGAACCACCCACAAACGCAGTCTCAGCATGCAGGGCATGATCGTGGCCATGCATCAGATAAAGTCAGGAGGCAAACGCATCTAGAAACACACGGACGAAAAGACGTCTTGAAAAAGACTCGTCCCATGCTTTCTCTTTTAGGGAACTGCTCTTTCAGCCGAAATGCCCTGGGATGAATGCTGCGCTCCACTGGAATAGTAGTAGAATGAAACCGCTCTGTTCCAAAGCAAAATATAAATGAAGAGACAAGAGAGTATGTCCAACACTATCTCACGACCAATTCGTACGAATTCGACGCATGATTAAAAAGTGGCTAATTCGTACTAATTCGTACGACCTCACTCGTACTAATTCGTACGATTTGTCTTAACCCACGTGATGGTTAAGTTTAGGGGCGGGGTAAGGGGTAGGTCATTCGTACGAATTCATACGAATTGGCCAATTCTTAAAATATGTACGATTTAGCAAAATCGTATTAATTCGTACGAGTGAGGTCGTATGAATTGTTACGAATTAGCCACTTTTTAATCATTCGTCGAATTCGTACGACTTGGTCGTGAGATCGGGTTGGTATGTCCTGGTTGGTGTGACTCGGCATGCAAATCTCACTGGCCAAGATCCATTAGCTCGTTTTGTTACTACTTTGAGATGATTGGGCTCCCAGGCGAGACCCCATGACGTCCTTCCGACGTAATGTTGAACGTAACTGACTGAATGGGATAGGTTAATTTTTCTGAGGTGCGTAAGAATGTCAGCTAGACCTAGTTGTTTAACTAGATTGCTTTATTTGTTCAAATGCATTTCGTTTTTTTTGTCTGTTTTGTTTTATGTATTATGTTAGTATTCGATTTGATATATTTTAATACCATGAATGACTGTATAGAATCCGTAGACCGTAAAATGCGTATGAAGTACTATCTACCATGATATTCATACCTGAAGGAAAACGCTTAAAGATTTATTAATATAAGGAAACCAAAAAAAGTATATCTGCAATTTGGTGTATAGAAGAAACATTCATTACATAAGACACCAGTTAAGTCATATGTCCTTCTGTTGCCAGTGTGCTTTATTCTTATCTTAGTCACCCCAATTACTTAACTTAATCACCCCAATTACATTATGGGCTATTTATTTTAACGATGTGTGTAATTTTTTTTTTCTGTGTAACCCTCAGCCATGCAGCAGGTGCTGGATAACCTCAAAGAGCTGCCGCCTTCAACGGGAGCCAAAGACATCGACCTCATCTTCCTCCGTGGCATTATGGAGAGTCCTATAGTTCGTTCCCTCGCTAAGGTATAATTCTCCATTTTAAAGGGGACATATCATGCTAAATCCACTTTTTTGCCTTGTAAAAAAGTTGCATTGCAGTTATGCTTTATATAGACCACAAATGTATGATTTATATGTAAAAATGAATGATTTTTCATTCATGTGAAAATGAATATATCCATATAAAAGCATATGTACCCTTTAAGTCTTGTACTATCTCTCACTTAGCGCTATAGCTATTAGGGGGCATGTTTAAAAAGTGTTTAAATTTAACATTTAGTCATTTAAATTTAATGTAGTTAATAAGAGATCTTGTATCCGCCACCTAAAATCAACATAAAACCTGTTCATATATCTCTAATCGTGTCCGTGCATTAATGAGCTGGATGTCAGGAGTTGTTTGCAGTGTCAGAGGTCACAAGAACGTGATGTACAGGGGCTCTCTTCTCATTCTTAATATAGCGGTGTGAAATTGTTTGGATTGTGAGATATACTGGTAGAGCTTCACTTTGTTTGATTAGGAACTAACACACTAATTGTGAGAAACATGTTTAATTGTGAGAAACATAGTTTTTTGTTACTATAGATTTAATAGCAAAAGATACACAAACAATACACGTGACTGACCCTTATGATTTTTCTTAAACACATTTGTCAAATAGTTGATGGATTGTAGCTTAATTTCTTCACTAACAATGTGTATATATTCAAGTAGATCTCTCAAATCTGTCATTTATTTAATTTCGTGAAAGTCGTAAAAATTCCCACCACAGTGTTAATTTCCACCATTTTAAAATGTGTTTTTAATGCATTTTTCATTTTCATATGTTAAGTTTTGAACAACAACAATTTTGTGAACAATAAACAAAATATTAAAGTATTATATATTTATTTCAAAAATGACATTTCTAAACAAACTAGTTTGGAAAATGATGGTGGAAATATAAAAACCACATGTAAATAAACAAAACTTCCATAAACCACGTGTTTATTTAGACGCAAATAAATGTATTTATTTAAGTTGATAAATATGGAAGTTTTGTTTATTTACACATGGTTTATATAAAACTTCCACATTTATCAACTTGAAAAAAATAAAAATGTATTTATTTATTTAAGTTGATAAATATATGGAAGTTTTGTTTATTTACACATGGTTTATATAAAACTTCCATATTTATCATCTTGAAAAAAAAAAAAAATTATTTATTTATGTATTTATTTAAGTTGATAAATATGGAAGTTTTGTTTATTTCCACATTGTGTGCTCCGGTCCTGCTCCTTGGTCCTAGCTAGACCTTGGGTTTCCTTCCTAGATTTTTGTTTTTTTCCCGTTTGTTTAGATATTATTTTTAGTTGATTAATTTGTTTTAATTGTTATCATTCATATCTATAGTTATCATTTATTCATGGGTAATTTGAAAATATTTTTATTTGAGTAATTCTGTGATTTATTTTTATTTTATTTATTTTTTATTTTTTTAAATAAAAATCATCCCCTGAGACACATTTAATTAAATTATTTCTGTAAATGTCTTTGTGTACGGTTGTTTAATACTCTTCTATCTGAAGTGTACCTGGCAGTGCGTTTGTTTAATGCTCTGAGTCCATCTAGACGTAATCCATTAATCCGTTTCTTGGTAAGAGACTCAAGCTATTTTGTCTCCACCCACTCTCTCTCAGGCTCACGAGCGATTGGAGGACGTTAAGCTGGAGGCGGTGCGAAATAATAACGTGGAGCTAGTGGGCGAGATCCTGTCTGATATGAACAGTCTGATCAGCCGTGATGAAAGTGCAGCAGAACTCAGTAAGATCCTGAAGGAACCGCATTTCCAGGTACCAGACGTGTGTGTGTGTTTGTGTCTGTCTGCCTCTTTTCATAACATTGTTGACTTGTTTATTTACAACTATTTATTCAGCCTGTTGCCTTCTCAGTAGTATAGCAAAATCACCTTTAAGCACTTGAGACCATGAACAAATTGAGTTGCTCATTTTAAAAAAATGTTTTGCTCATTCACTTTTTTAAGGAATATAATTAATTTGGTAATTTAATTATCCAAACTTGAATGTAATTCTCTTGGTAATTTCAGTCCCTGTTAGAAGCTCACGACAAGGTGGCTTCTAAGTCATATGAAGCTCCTCCCACCAGCACCAATTCCACCAGCATGACCAGCTCATCCCTCATGCCTGCTGACACTGTTCGCATGATCAGCATCCAGAAGAAGGCCGGAGAGCCTCTTGTGAGTGACAGACATTCTCCGTTTCCCAGGATTAGATCCGATAGTCAGTCAGATGTTGCTCTCATTCAGAGTTGCTCTGCTAACTACTAGCAGCTTGTGTTTCAGGCAGCGTGAAAAGTCATTTTTGCTCGGTCTGCTTTGGAAATTTTGCATTAATGAGAACTAGGCTTAATTGTTAAATTTGACTTTAATATACAAGATATAAGGCCAACCAGTCTCTTGAGCTTATCTACAGTGGGCAGTTTTTTAACACCTAGTAAAATAAGTCATTGTGTCTCTGCCAAGGACAGAAATTCACAAGGGTGCTTGATAAAAGACTCTGAAATGAATTATCTATCTATAGTGTATATATATATATTATGATATAAATCGATCGATTGATTTTATTATATAAAAAGCCACTGAAAATATCAATTTTATTTGTTATTTATTTTAGGGATATTGTATTATCTTATAATGCAATATCCATAAATAAATACATGTTATTTTTAGTGGCTTTTAATATAATTTATAATAGGATAATATAATACAATATAAATAAATAACAAATAGAAATGCATATTTACAGTGCATTTTTATATAATAACATTTTTAAGACAATATCCCTAAATAATAAATATGATTTTTAGTGGCTTTTAATACATGTTATTACATAAAAATCCACTGAAAATATTTAATTTTTTATATTTTGTATTCCTTTAAAAGCCACTGAAAATAAGATTTACTTTTATTTATTTATTCATGGATATTGTATTATAAAGATACACTGAAAATATTTATTTATTTAAGGATATTGTATTATTATCTTACATAATGTTAAAAGCCACTGAAAACATTTGTTTATTTTATTAATTTATTATATTGATTTATTATGAGATATATTATAGGAAAATATGCCCTTTATAAAGTACTAAAATAAAATAATTGTGATAACCAGTTTCAGGGTGCAAGTGACTCTGTGCTGGCATGTCAGAGATTCACGGTGTCATCTCTTTTAGGGTGTAACATTCCGGGTGGAGGAGGGCGACCTTGTCATTGCACGTGTTATGCACGGCAGCATGATTGACAGGCAGGGGATGCTGCACGCTGGTGATGTCATCCGAGAGGTGAACGGCCGAGAGGTGGGCAAAGACCCCATGGCGTTACAGCACATGCTGAGGGACTGCAATGGAGGCATCACCCTCAAGATCCTACCCAGCTACAGGGACACACCTCCACCCGCACAGGTCAGCAGTACACCGCTGATTCAGTCCAATGAAATTAAATGATATAAAATATTCAAAAACATTTTGCCACCAAGTTGCCTGGTTGAGGCAAAACTCATACAAAATAAATGTAAAATGAACCTGAACCCATTTTCTGCAGCAAGATGTGGATCTTTCTCATCTGAGCTCTTTGTACTCTCAGCATCTGATTATTAGGGGAAAATACCAAGCATCTTTTCTCATAGACCTAATTTTAGTGCTGTACAACCTCCTGATGGGACATGGGTTAGTACAGTCCTCGAGAAGGAGGAAGGGCGAGAGTTTCAGCATTATGGAGAGTCCCATAATTTGTTCCCTCGCTAAGGTATAACTAATTCTCCATTTTAACTCTTGTTCCATGTCTCATTTAGCTCTATGGCTATTAGGGGACATCAATTGTTTAAATTTAACCATAAATTTAAAAATCAAATAATTGGTCATTTAAATTTAGTTAAAAAGAGATCTTATATCCGCCACCTAAAATCAACGTAAAACCCGTTCACATGTCTCTAATCGTGTGCGTGCGTTTTTGAGCTGGAAGCCAGGGGTTGTTTGCAGTGTCAGAGGTCGTAAGGAGCTCAGCACTAAAATCAGTTTCAGTCTGGTGGCATTGTGAGCATGGTTATTCCTATTAATAACACAACCTGCGCTAAGTAGGGCAGATGGGAGGTGTCAAATCCTTTCTCTACCCTTACTCTACACACCCTTACTCTATACTCTAAGGAGATCTGGGCCTGGAAAGAAACAGATCCTGAAAAGAAATCCTGATCTTCAGATGTTTGCAGTGTTGGGCATGTTGCTTAAAAAAAGTAATTAGTTATAGTTACTTCTCACAAATAGTAACTGAGTTAAATCATTATAAAAGTAACTCATTACTAGGGAAAGTAACTATTGCGTTACTTAAAAAAAATGCACCCAATATTAAATATGTTAAATTAATGAAATGGACACTATATAATAAATTATTATTATAAAACATTGTACACTAATCTACACTATCGTAATGTTTCTGTGGGACAATGTGAGAGACGCCTATAAAATTCGATATATTATTTTAAATATTATCATTACTATAGTAGAACAATAAATCATAAGTTTAGGTTTAGAATTTTTAATATTTAATATTGCACTAAGCCCAACTGGCCAACAAATAAGTCTAAAAATAAATTATGCTTAAATGTACCAAAAATTATACATGTGCTCTTTGTAGTGAATATTAAAATGATAAACAGCTTAACAAGAAGTGCTCCCAGAACCCGAATTCCCAGACCATTCCCTGCTGATTGTTTTTTAGATTTTATTTGTATAACCATGTAAATTAATAAAAATGTTGCATATAATTTATTTTATTTGCAGTGTAATTTATTTCTAAACAAACTATATAATGCTCGGACACACTCGGTCTCTCTTGCGCAGTCGAGCGCACTCTCGGCGCATTGTCGAGCATTCGCTTCGCTTTAGTCCAGTCCGGCACCTCATAAAACACACACATGCCACACACACACACACCAGAGAAAAACTTTGCGGGTCCTATGGCGAAGAGAGAGCCTACCCGCTTCAGTGAACTCAATTAGGCTATAGTAACGGCGCATTTTATTGTCATTAATAGTAACAACGTTGTAACGGGGGAAACAGTAATTCGTTTGATTACTCGTTACTGAGAAAGATAACGCCGTTAGTAATGCTGTTTATTTATAACGCCGTTAGTCCCATCACTGGTTGTTTTAATATATATTTTTTGAGTTGACAACCGAATTTAACTGCCGTCAGTGCGTATGTGGCCTTAAGGTCAATTTATACTTCTGCGTAGGGTGCGCGCAGTAGGTACGGCGTAGCATACGCACAGACGCGTACCATCCCGCGTACCCTTTGTTGTAGCCTGACGCGCACCTCCTCAAAAATGTAACTACACGACGCGGACCGCAAGATCAGTGATTGGTCGGCTTGGTAGCATCGCATTTCCTCCTACGCATATACGCACGTACCATCTCCTCCGACGTCTTCTCTCGTTTCTGCCTTGTAGTTTTAGTAATTTCACTAAAATGAACCGTTTTCCACCTCAATAAGCTCCAACTCCAACATGATCCGCTCTCTTTCAGTCGATATTGCTTGTAGTAACCTAGCCGCGAGGAATCTAAACACAGTGGAACATTAAAACCCTCCATCGCCAACTAGCATTTCGGAGCAGTACTGCAGAGCAACCAAGACCTGAACGCAGAAGTATAAATGCTCACAACGGCGTCGCCTCGACTCAGAAGTATAAATTGGCCTTTAGTGGTCTGCTGGTGGGTGTGATGTAGTTTTTAACTTTTTCTTTAACAAGTTATTTTGAAAAATCTGCATCATGTTAGAATGACCATGTATTACAATTACTCTCTATGGTCCTTAAAAATCCCATGATGTCCTTCGAATAAAGAGTAGGGGTTTAACCCCGGCATCCTGGCCGAACTTGCCCATTAACCTCTATCCAACAAAATGGCCTCCTAATCATCCTCATATACACCGATCGGCTTCATCACTCGGTCTCCTCCCCACCAATAAGTCGTGTGGTCCTGGTGCAATATGTCTGCCGTCGCATCATCCAGCTGGATTCTGCTCATTGGTGGTGGTCAAGGAGATTCCCCCTTCTATGTAAAAACACTTTGAGTGCCAAGAAAAGCGATATATAAATGTAACTAATTATTATCGTTATAACAGTCAGAGCTGAAATATGCAATGGAAACGGTTGGAAAGTATTTAATAGGAACCTTTTTTTATATTTTTAAACTTTTTGCAATCTGAATGAGTGATATTTGCTGCTTCTGATCCAAATACATTTATATAAATCCCCGAACAGTGCTGTTGCTGCACACCAACCACTTCCTGAGTGTATGCGTCTAAACAAGAAGATGTCCTTTACCAACTTTCCTTGAATAAGTAATGTTTACAAAGCTTGCACAAAGAGCAAACACCGGAGGCGAGGGTCTACAGGGTTCCTTTGCTAGTGTCAAACCCCCATTTGTGTCTTCTTTCAACCTGAACTTTACTCAGTGGCCTGGTTATGTGCCATGAACGGCCGCTGTATGTTTACCGTTGGGTCCTGATCGCTGATAAAGATCCACCACGATCCATAAATATTTACTGTGAAAACATGCTGTTGTCCTCCGTAGAGAAGTCCATTTACAACACACACCAACATGGAAAAAAAATGAAGAGAAACAGAAGCAACCCAAGTCATTATTTTTTATTTTTTTGGTTGCGGTATTGTGTAGATATGCATTGACAACGTGAAAGAGCATTCCTAAAAGCTGATGGTAGTCAATGTAACGTGGAAATGTTTTAGACAATCTGAATGGCGAAGGGTTTATTTATTTAGTTTTATGAAAATGCTTCTCCTTTCCCAACTGTATCAACATCAGCATTAAATGTCAGAAAGCAATCCTTTTTGTCTTGTGACATGAGCTACGAATTGCATTTTTAGGCTATAATTGGCAGCTTAATTTATGTCAATAAGCACGAGTAACGCATTATTTTCCCTTTAGGTGTATTTGAAGCCACATTTCAACTACAATCCTGACACGGATAACCTGATCCCTTGTAAAGAGGCGGGTTTGGCTTTCTCTAAAGGAGACATTCTTCATATAGTGAACAAGGAGGACCCCAACTGGTGGCAAGTGAGAAGCAAATACACTATTTTTTTTTTCCAGATCCGTTTGGTCGGATTTCTTTTAAGTGATGAAATATTTGACATATTGAAGCTATGTAGTGTTTGTTTCTTCTTTTTTTTTAGGCATGTAACATAAATGGAGGGTGCACTGGCCTGATCCCCAGTCAGTTTCTTGAGGAAAAGAGGAAGGCGTTTGTAAGGAGAGACCTGGATGGATCAGGTACAGTGGATTTTAGGCATTGGGAACTTAAAACCGTATACATACGCATTTTGACCATTCATTTACAGGTCAACACTGTTTTTAGGGCCTGAAAAAGCAAAGTACATTTTTTTATTATTATTATTTTTTACCTATACTTTGTGTTTTTGTCAAGAACGAGGTTACCATTAAGCACTGACAAATTTTCACTTAATTCAGTGTGGAGGACATAACTTAGGATGACCAACTGTCCTGTTTTCCCAGGACATTTCCTGATTTCATATAAGAATATAACAATTTTCTTTCCATACTGAGGAGGCATAACCTACTTTAAATGTGTTGAAATTAATAAGGTAGCTTTGAGTAAACGTCGAGTATCATTTGAGTTGGCCCATGTGTTTGCTGGGCCGAGTGTTCTGGTTTTTGGTGATCAAAATATGGTCACCCTAAAATAACTGATAACAAATATAAAACAGATATACACAAGAGAAACGGATACACATACATAAAGAATAATAGAAAAATGACGATATACTTGATTCACAGGTAGAAAGTGCCTACTGAAATAATCTATGTCTGACATTAAGATAATTAAGGTGTCTATGAAAATAATTTTTATGAAAAGTATACTGTGATTGTCTCCATGTAAACTACATTATTGTGAATTTGTGAAACCAGTGACGTCGTGCGTATTACTGTATGTGTGCAGTCTATATAGGTGCGTACTTTCTTTACAAAGTGACTGCCGCCAACTACTGGCCTTGAATGCATAATACGCCGTTTTAGTCGTTTTCTCGGATCCAAGTGAAAGGGCATAAGTTTGACTTTGCATTTTTGCAAAGTTTGGAAAGAAACGACAAAGGAAAGACCTTTTCGATTTTTATACATCACTGTTGTTAATGTTCCCTTGGAAACTGGATAGTGTAGTTGTGGATGAAATCATACTTTGCTATAATCTTAATTGGAAAATCTAAGAGTAAAGGTCTTTCCTATTGCATATTACTACTGTAATCTGTTTACAATCTGTAACTGTTTTACAACTTTGTTTTAGGAATTCTCTGCGGGACATTAACTGGAAAAAAGAAGAAAAAGAAAATGATGTACTTAACGGCAAAAAATGCAGGTTAGAATTGCCTCCGTTATATATGGCCATCTGTGTAATATACTGGTGATCTTCCATGTGCTGTCAAAACAGCGCCGACCCGCCGTGGCATGGACTCTATAAGACCCTGGAAGTGTCCTGTGGTATCTGGCACCAACACGTTACCAGCAGATCCTTCAAGTCCTGTAGGTTGTGAGGTGGAGCCGCCGTTGGTCCAGCATATCCCACAGTTGCTCGACTGGATTGAGATCTTGGGAATTTGGAGGCCAGAGGCAGGGTGCATTACCCACTTCTATGAGGAGAGACAAACCACAAACCGACGACGACAAGGCGTTGGGCGCCTAAGGCTCATAGACGCATGAGGACAATGAAGGCTATCCTGTCTGGTCTGAGCCAACAGAAGGTCTACTGTGGCGCAAGTCACACAATTTTAATGATGGCTTTGGGAGGAACAAAAGCCTAACCCTAACCCCAACCGACAGTATGTCACACTGTGATTGGTCTCAGCAGAGTGCCTATAATGACCCCTGTCCACCGTTGAAAGCATCTTCAATGGAGCAGTGGAGGAAGGTCGCCTGGTCTGAGTACCATTTTCTTTTACGATATGTGGGCCGCCATGTACATACTTCCCCAGGTAAATTACTGTAGGATGAAGCTGGTGGAGGGAGTTTGATGCTCTGGGCAATGCTCTGCTGGGAAACCCTGACATTTGGCACATACCACCTGCCTAAACGTTGTTACAGACCAGGCACACCCCTTCATGACAATGATGATCCCTGGTACAAGTGGCTTCATTTTAGCAGAATAATGCACCCTGCACACATTGTTCAAGAATGGTTTGAGGAACAAGATGCAGAGTTCAGGGTGATACCCTGGCCTCCAAATTCCCCAAATTCAATCTAGTTGAGCATCTGTGGGATATACTGGACCAACAAATTCAATCCACTTCACCTCTCCACCTACAGGATTTGAAGGATCTGCTTGAAGTCTTGGAGCCAGATAGTACAGGAAACCTTCTGGGTTTTCTTACCAGGTGGTCATAATGTTTTGGCTCATATATAATACACACACACACACACACACACGAAATTAATACTTCTATTCAACCAAGGACATCAGAAATGTTTCAAACATTACAGTAAACACATTTAAAATATTTCAAATAAATGTTTTGCTTTTGATCTTTGTTTATCAAAGAATCTTACAAAAATATATATTGTGGTTTCCATAAAGCAGCACACAACTGTTTTCAACACACACTTTTTTTCTTAAGCACCAAATATTAGATTTGAATTATTTAGCATATTAGAATTATTTCTGAAAGATCAGTAATGATGCTGAAAATTCAGTTTTGCCATCTCATGAATAAATTATACTTAATATTAAAACAGTTATTTAAAGTTGTAATATTTCATATTACAGATTTTACTCAAATGCATCTTTGGTGGATGTAAGAGTCTTATTTAAAGGGATACTCCACTCCCCCAGTTGAGTTTTACCGTTTTCGAATCCATTCAGATGATTTTCTGATATTTAGAAGAATATCAGTAACCAGACAGTTTCTGGTCTCATTGACTTCCATAGTAGGAAAAAAATATACTGTGAAAGTCAACGAGACCAGAAACTGTCTGGTTACTGATATTCTTCTAAACGGTAAAACCCAACTGTTTAACTCTGGAGGAGTTTTAAAATGAGCCTATTTCCAAAAAAAAAAAAGTGGAGAATCCCTTTAAAAACATTAAGAAGCTTACCTTTTAAAATAAAAACGTACCGACCCTAGACTTTTGAACAGCAGTGTAAGTGCTTTTAAAACATAAAAAAATAACTTTTAAAACTCCTTTCTTTCTAATAGAATTTGATCGGCATGAATTACAGATCTATGAAGAGGTAGCAAAGATGCCTCCATTCCAGAGAAAAACACTTGTGCTGATTGGTGCACAAGGTGTGGGCCGCCGAAGCCTCAAGAACCGTCTGATTGTGGTAAACCCACTGAGATATGGAACTACTGTACCTTGTGAGTCTATGAACATTAATACTTAGCTGTCATGTTATTTTACAAACATAAACAGTCACTCGTTGAGAATTTCATCTGTTTCTCAGTCACTTCTCGGCATCCACGTGACGACGAAAAGGACGTCCAGTCGTACTGCTTTGTTTCCAGAGAGGAGATGGAAATGGACATCAAGGCAAGTCGATACCTGGAGCACGGAGAATACGACGGCAATCTGTACGGAACCAAAATTGACTCCATCCATGAAGTCGTACGCACAGGGCGTACTTGCATACTGGACGTCAACCCACAGGTCAGTGGATTGGTGAAAATAACACAGGATAGAAAGGCTAGGTATTTTATGTTCAATGAAAGCTTGTTTCCACCAAGGAATTAAAAAGAGGTAATTGTGATATTTTTTTCCCTCATAAATGTTTAGGTATACTATCAGAATTGTGAGATATAAACTTGAGATTGCAATGGGAAAAAATAATCCGTGGCAGAAACAAGCTTGCGTAATATTGTAATCGTCTTTATATATTAATTTTAGATAAGTTGTGATACAGAGCTACCTAGATCTCTGAGATTGTTTGATATATGCCACATTGATTTTATTCAATCATTAAGAGACAGTGACTGAAGTAAATCTGTTGAACAGTCAGCTCATCTCTTCCTGTCTCTTAGGAAACAGGAAGAGATGACTCGTCATCACTAGTAAAATAATTTAAATATATATATAATAAATGTGCTCTACAGGCTCTAAAAGTACTGAAGACATCAGAGTTTATGCCATTTGTGGTATTCATCGCGGCCCCGGAGCTCGATACACTACGGGCCATGCACAAAGCTGTGGTGGATGCTGGGATCACAACCAAGCAACTGACGGTTAGCCTCACATCTGTCTCAACAGTTCATGCACTCCACAGAGCGCAACAGTCCAGTTCTGGAAATAAACTCCCAAAATTATTTTCTCTATAGGGAAATATATTTGTATTAACAGAGCTACCTAGATCATTAACCCTTGTGCATCCTTGTGGACATTTTTGTCCTTTTCAGTTTTGTTTTTTTGATCACTTTGCCTGTGTTAAAGCTAACTGCAAAAAACTTGGCACAGGTGTGTATTTTTATTGGAATTTTACTATTTCACCGCCATTTTCTTAAAAAAAATATTTTTTGCATTAGGTACAAAAAATACTCCCTCTCAGCCCCTTTTGGACAAAAATGTCCACATTGAAACCCATTAAAACTGCCATTTTTAATTCCCGGTTCAGTTAACTATAAAATTATGCAATCTTTGTTAAGAGGCTTTCATTCTGATGGCAAGGCTTCAAAATTTTATTTTTTACTATTTTTTATCAGATGGTGTCATTTTTTTTAAGTTTGGCCTATAAAACAAATATCGCTTTTTTCCTGTTTTCTGGTTCGGCATACTATAGAGCCAACTGGATAAATTATGCAACGATATTTGTGTGTTGGTATGGATGTCAGAGTGTGGTTAGTATGTGTGTTATAAAAAAATATGTGTGTGTGTGTGCATGTGTGTGTTTGTCAGACTGAGAGAGAAAAACTGCAAATTCAAATCCAATCACTGTGAGCTCCAGTGGGGTTTTGCTGGGACCCAATGGGGAAAATATGTTACTACGCCCAAACAAACTGTTACCGAAAGCTCATTATTTGAGATATCATCCTCAAATTTGGAACACAGCCTATTTAGATTTATGGCTTTGATTTTATTGTAGTTTTGAGTTCAACCTGATTTAAAAAATATATATTTTATATAAAATATTATTTTATAAATAATTTTCATAAACTTATACCTATATAACTTTTTTTTGGATTTACTTATTATTATTTTTTTACTTCAGCAATAATCTGCAAAGGGTCTTCTTTAAAATGATACCAAACTTAAGTCTGTGCTCCAAAGCGTCACATTTTTATGACAGTTTTTTGACATGGACATTTTTGTCCTCTTTTTACCTATGTGTAACTTTTTTTAATTGATGCACAAGGGTTAAGAGACAATGAATGAAGTAAAGCTGTTGAACGGTCAGCTCATCTCTTCCTGTCTCTTAGGAAACGGACCTAAAGAAAACGGTGGACGAAAGCAGCAGGATCAAGCGGGCGTACAATCACTACTTTGATCTGACTATAGTTAATGACAATCTGGACAAGGCCTTTGAGAAACTGCAGGCAGCTGTGGAGCAGCTAACCACACAACCGCAATGGGTCCCTTTGAACTGGGTTTACTGAGACATACAGATCATTATCATCATCGGCGACGGCTCCACTGATAGGTCAGCGGCACAGAACACAAGTTCACACTGAACGGACCCACCAGTCACTATGCAAATGTACACTAGCTATCCAGTCACAACAGACAGAAGGGAAGTGTACTTATTTATTAACGTTTTTTTTATGTTCTACTGACTAAACATATTTTAAAGAATGTTACTTTGAGGGACAGAAACAAATAGGATTTTTTTGGAATGACTTGTCATTGAAATGGTAATTAATTTTTCATTCTAGTATAAGGTGCATTACAGTATTGAAAGCAGGAGGTCTGTTTTCTTGCTGTAATTTTAGAGTGTCTAACATTGGTTTACAGTGCAGTATTCATCTTGCATCTCTTCATCTTTCTGAAACGTATGTCATATAGTTCATTCACTACAGTATGTCAAAATTTTTTATAGTTTATCCAGCTTCTGACTTGGTAAGATCTTTATTAGCGTCATACTGTAGCCTTGAGTTTTTTTAGTTAAATGCAAGAAACGCTAGGAGTAAGGCAGTTTTAACTTTTAAAAATGTCATGGGTGCACTTTATTTTACAGTCCTGTTCAACATGTACTTACTATAATTACTAGGTACTAATCCTGAACCTATCCCTAAAGCGCAAAGTACCTTTAGTTTTGACACGAAAGCTTGTTTTGTGTCTACAGCCGAATACATCTAGTGTCAGCGCTACTTCTCTTCCGAAGTTATGACCGATTCATATTCTTTGTACTCTTTAAACTAGAGTTGAATGTATTGTTGCTGCCATCGCCAGTAGTTTGTTTCACACTTGCGGTTTTGGCCACTTGAGAGTGCGTGCATGCATGCAACAGGAACTAAGAGCACACTCTAAATTGGCTTTGAGGTTAAGAATCGTTCATGTTCAGGAAATTGCGTGCCCTGATTTCGTGGAATGTCTAGAAAACCTTTCCAGTGCAAGTTAAATTAGATGTTGCATATAGACCATTTCACAAGATGTAAACAACACTGGTCCAGAAACACTTCCTGTTTCAGTTTGTTACTGTTCTCTTTATTTCACATGTAAAGAAAACATCTTAAAGATGTTTGTTTAACTTTTTGATTCAGTTTTATATGTTCTGTTGGTTGTATTTTATCCAAGCTTTTATGTAGTGTTAAACTGAAACAGGAAGTGCTTCTGGACCAGTGTTGTTTACATGGTCTATAATTTGGTAGTAAAACATTATTGAACATTTTATTAGTACAGAGGCCACTGATATTATTTGTATTTTGTCATCATTGTCGTTTAAACTACAGTTGTGTGTTTCTTAATCGCCCTTTGTCAACGTGTGCGTTTATTTTTGTTGCAGTCTCTAGTTGTTTCTTCTAATTTTTTTCTTTTTTAATTGTGAGCAACAGTATTGCCACCTTGTGACAAACTAATTAGTGCAAAGGCATATGCACAAATATAGATTAAAAATATTGCTGCGCATACCATAATAATGACTTGATTTACCCTAGTGTATGAGTGAAAACCTAAGTGTACTTTGAGCTTAAGGGACAGGTTGCAGTATGTTTTTGCTACACTGCGCTGCTTTTGAATAGTTTTTCTATGTGAACATTCATCTTGCTGATTTTTCAGCATCTCGCACATGACAACTTGTCTTGAACTTTTACCATGAGCACTGCATTTCAAATTGAAAATACGGCTCAAAACCTTGGCTGCTTTTCCATTCACCAGCGCCACACCTCTGCTTTTGGAGGATACTATTGTGTGCATCTCGTGTTTAAAGGGTTAGTTCACCCAAAAATGAAAATTCTGTCAGTAATTACTCACCCTCATGTTGTTCCAACCCCGTAAGACCTTCGTTCATCTTCGGAACACAAATTAAGATATTTATGATGAAATCTGAGAGCTGGATCACTACTGCATACTAGTCCATAGGCTTCTTGAGGGATTGAAACTTGCCGGCCCCGAAAAGTTATTAAAGACATCGTTAAAATAGTCCAAGTGACTACAGGGGCTCAATCTTAAGTTTATCAAACGATGAGAATACATTTTGTGCGGAAAAACAAACAAAAATAATGACTTTATTTCAACTATTCACTTCCTTCTCTATGGGCCTGTAGTCAGTTAACGTAGTGTGATTGCGTAGAGCTACGTAGGTTCACACGTAGGCTCACTATTGGCCGACACTGGTCATGTGTGTGATGCGTGTGACGTACAATAACAGAAGCTTACGCTATTAAACTAGTAACCTGACTCGCACAGAGGGAGAAGTAAATCAATAGTTGAAAAAGTTATTTTTGCGCACAAAAGTGTTCTCGTCGTTTGATAAACTTAAGATTGAGCCCCTGTAGTCACTTGGACCATTTTAACAATGTCTTTAATAACTTTTCGAGGCCAGTAAGTTTCAATTCCTCAAGAAGCCTATGGACTAGTATGCAGTAGTGATCCAGCTTTCAGATTTCATCAAAAATATCTTAATTTGTGTTCCGAAGATGAACGAAGGTCTTACGGGGTTGGAACAACATGAGGGTGAGTAAATACTGACAAAATTTTTATTTTGGGGTGAACTAACCCTTTAAAGCAAAAATGTGTTCTGTGTGAACTGCCCATAAACTCAGGGCAACTCCACCATCCTGCTTCGTTTAACTCCAACCCTGATCAAACTCGCATGTCTGTAGATTTCTAGTAATCCTGAAGACCTTGATTGTAGCTTGTTTAGGTCTGTTTGATTAGGGTTGGAGCAAAAATCTGCAGGATAGTGGATCTCAAGGTTGAGAGTTGCCCATCCCTGCCATAAACCTAAACCCAAGTTATCTTGTGTTACTCACACATGATGAGAGTACTGAGTACCAAGTATACTGTAAGTGAATGTACTATAAAATAAAGTGCCACCAATATCACGGTTTCAATTAAATTGTAGCAGAATTATGAGTTTAGACATATACAGAATCAGCGCTGTATTTAGCTAAATGCCTTTTTACACGGGCACAAAATGACCAATTGTGTCCTGATCACAAGCTACCTGGCCTCCCAGATTCATAACAGTCTTGGTTGTCTCTTGCCTGTAGTGATGTATCTCTGTCTCTGGCGACTTGCTCCAGTGTCTTTTTCAAGGCTGTGTAACTCATTTTTATCCAGCTTGCGTAATTCATTTGAAAATTCTATATTTTGCAATACAGAGTTGTATTTTCTGACATGAAACGGCTGTCTAATAAATTAATCTTAAAAGTTTAAGTACAATGATCCTAATTTTTTACTATATATGAAAACAATCTTATGCACATCAAAATGTGAAATGATTTAAAAAACTGGATACAGGGAATTACAAAACCTTTTTTTTTTTTTTTTACTTTTTTTTCACAGTATTGGATATTCACTTTAAAAGATTTGATATTACAAAAGTACATTAAAAACAACAAAGTATATAGATAAACATATTCAAAGACCAATTCAAATTGATAACAGGTTTTACAAGATGGCAGTCATCCACAAAACAGCCGAAAGGCCATTTAAAGGATCAATAATTTTTTTTTTTTCCTTCATCCCCGAGTAGATCACCCACCTGCAGGGTTTAATGCCCTTTGGTCACGTAATAGCTTGCACCTGTTGTACTCCAGTCAGACAGGGGGCGCTAGAGATGCCAAACCTTTGACTGCAATGCATAGCATGAGGGGAAGGCGATCCTGTGGGTTGCTGATTTTTGTAACAAGGGAATCCTTCTCCTTAAGCAAGGTCACATTACAAGAGGCAAAGAGTGCTGTGATCTTCTTGAAAACCTCCTCATCGGCTAACACGGCCAGAACAGCGTCTTTCCAAGAGGACTTCTTATTTAGAGCCATATTTTGCACCTGCATGAAAATGGACAGCCAGGCAAAGAAAGGAAGCGGTTTCAATAGATGTTCAAGTCAATAATAAGGGCTTAGGAATTTTCTGTGTGTTTCAACAAAGACGATTCTGGATGTATGAGTAAATTAAGGCCTGTAGTTAACATAACTTGAGACTTTTACAATGCGTGTGAACAAATATCAAGTAAAAATGTGGTACTGTTGCTCATTCTACAGTTCACAATCAAAATGAGCAATTGCTTTGATCTACCGTTGATTAATTATGACTGTTTTTATATCATACCCGCTTTTCTGTTTTGGTTGCATTGTCTTTTATTACCTCCTTGTATTTCCTAATAAAGTAGTGTTTAAAGAAGCACAGCACTACTTTGTTTGATGAAGTAACTGGGGAAACAGCTATATTTCTGCTCTTTCATAAGTGCCATCTATTGTCAAAATGAATTTGCTATTTTATTAAGCGTGTCTGCCGTTTTTGTTCAGACAAAATGTGAAGATCGTCACACATTTTACTCTGATTACACAGTGTTGTAAATGTAAACCTGTGGATTGATGATAAGCTAATGTGAATTTAAAAAAACTGTAGAATAAAGGATCTAAAATATTAATAATTAATCATTTTAAATTAGTAATATATAATCATTTTTGACTTGTGCCTCTTCTTTAAAATGCAAAAATCTTTATGATGTTTATAACTTGTTTTTATCAAAAACTTGTATTACCGGTATTTGAACTGTGAAGTTGTTTATATCGTCATTTTTAGTCACTTTATGGTTTAGGATGTTAACATAAACACTGACCTTGATCCATAACATCAATAAAAGTCATCTTTACAGTTTACACTGCAAAGTTATCCCGAGCTGCATCTGAGATGACATTTGTGTATTTATATAAACGTGTATTTACACAACTGCATTGTTGTAAATAGCCAACAATGAAGTATATCAATTAGAAAACAGGAATTAATTGCAGGGTAGAGGTGGATTATTACAACAATCATCAATTATTGCTCTTGATATTATAATCATTATTAATGTTGATTTAATGAAATACATGAAAACGTTTTAATGTTTCGGGAAATGGCACGTCCAATTGTTGACAAAAGTTCATTATACATTTATCACATTGATTATACAGGACTTTTTTGCCCCAAACCCCCATTAATTTCGGACCTTGATGATGTGCTGTATCGCTATATTAAAATGAATAAATGACAACTTTTGTTGAAATGATGAAAATTAGCCAAGGTAGCTAACTGTTTTAGAACTGCCAAATGTTGCATATAGACCCTTTTCTGTTAAAACTCTCGTATAATTGTTCGTATAATTGAAATCGTATAATTCACACTCTTACTCGTGAATTTAAGCCATTTTTGTGCTTTCAACACACTGCCATTCAAGAGTTTAGGGTCAATAAGATATTTTTGAAACAATTCTGTTCCACCAGTAATCACCAAGGCTGCATTTATTTGATTACAAATACAGTAAAAACAGTAATGTTGTTATAACATGAATAAATTACATTTTATAATATATTAAAATAGAAAACAGTTATGTTAAATAGACAGCATGACTGAATACCTCTCTTGAACATGCCCTATTTATTACATGTGGTACAAATACTTGTTTGTGATGACAATATTTCAGTAAGGACACTTACGAGATGGAGCAGGGCTTGCAGGGTTGCGAAACTGCAGCAGGATTTGAGCTCAAACAGGGCAGAGTCAGTCATCTCTACAGGGAAACATGAGTGTTTATGAGAACAAAGGTCATTTTGACAACAGGTTTATGACAATCGTTATCACCTTGTTGCTGACAAAAATGCATGTCAAGTAAACTTATTATGACCAGACAATTATCTCAGACTTCATCCAACTCACCATCTAATGAGCTGAAGAGCAGATGGGTGGCAGTAAGAGCACTGGGTTTGGTCTGCATTGCAGAGGATTTTGAACCAGCAGCCTTCTGTACAAGCTTCAGTGTGGCCTTCAGACCAGGAACTTCGTCCAACGCACTGAGGTCAGGCTGTGTCCCACTACACAGGTCCTCTAGCTGAGAGGATGACAAACAAGACCAAAGATGTCCAACATTGGGTCTTATCTATTATTACTATACGTCACCATTCAAAAGATCTTGTTTTAGAAATAATTAAAATTTTTGTTCAGCAAGGATGTATTGGTCAAAAGTGACCGTAAAGATCTAGCCTGGTTAAAACCAGACC